CAAAGTCGGCATTTTAATTAAAAAAATGGTTGGAGTTTTTTTTTTTTCTCATTATGCACTGCGTGCTCCAGGATTTTTTTTATATGGTGCACACTGACCACACAGACCCATTCTCTCACATGTGGGCCTACCAGCTTTCTCCTGCTTGATTTGAAGCCGCTAGAATTTATGAGTATATATACGTCAAACACTGTACCTCGTAAGACGTATATATACGGCCGCGACAGTCAAAGGGTTAATCCGTGCAAGACACCCAAAAGTATTGAAAAAAAAAATTTTTTACCACATGAAATATTAATTTTAATACACACAAACTGAAGATTACATGCACAGTTACATGACACTTACCTTTATTGAAGATCTGGTGATGACTGATGGGATGGGAGGAGGGGAGAGGTGTTAGTGTTTAGAAGGGGAATCCTCTTCCATTAGCACTTGAGGCAGCAAGTCTTTTTCTGGGGTTACTTCCCTTCTTCTTTTAATGCCACTAGGACCAGCTTCAGTCACTGGACTTCTGTCGCACAACATATCTGTCCATAGATACCTGTACCTCTCGTTCCTTTATGACTTTCCTAAAGTGGGTCACAACATTGTCACTGTACAGGTTGCCAACACGGCTTGCAGTAGCTGTGTCGGGGTGATTTTCATCAAAAAAGGTTTGCACTTCAAGCCACTTTGCACACATTTCCTTTATCTTAGAAGATAAGTAGAAGAAGTAGGCAACTTCTTCAATTTCTCTCTCCCCTCCTTCGAAGCAGTTTCCTCAGGTCTGCCCTCTTGCTGTTCAAGATGATCTAGCAGCTCATCAGTGGTTAGTTCTTCACTGTCCTCCACCACCAACTCTTCCACATCCTCCCCACTAACCTCCAACCCCAAGGACTTCCCCAATGCCACAATGGATTCCTCAACTGGCATAGGATTCTCAGGGTTAGCCTCAAACCCTTCAAAATCCCTTTTGTCTACACATTCTGGCCACAGTTATTTCCAAGCAGAGTTCAATGTCCTCTTAGTCACTTCCTCCCAAGCCTTACCTATAATGTTTACACAATTGAGGATGGTAAAATGATCTTTCCGAAACTCTCTTAGAGTCAGTTGAGTTTCTGAGGTCACTACAAAGCACCTTTCAAACATAGCTTTTGTGTACAGTTTCTTGAAGTTGGAAATAACCTGCTGGTCCATGGGCTGCAGGAGAGGAGTGGTATTAGGAGGCAAAAACTTCACCTTAATGAAGCTCATGTCCCTAGAAAGTCGCTCTGCCAAGTCTAAAGGATGACCAGGAGCATTGTCTAATACCAGGAGGCACTTAAGGTCTAATTTCTTTTGAATTAGGTAATTTTTCACATTGGGGGAAATTGCATGGTGTAACCAGTCATAGAAAAAGCCCCTAGTGACCCATGCCTTACTGTTTGCCCTCCACAGCACACACAAATTAGCCTTGAGGACATTGTTTTTCCTGAACACACTGTGAGTTTCATAGTGATACACCAATAAAGGCTTCACTTTGCAATCACCACTAGCATTGGCACACATCAACAGAGTAAGCCTGTCTTTCATAGGCTTATGTCCTGGGAGTGCCTTTTCCTCCTGAGTAATGTACGTCCTGCTTGGCATTTTCTTCCAGAACAGGCCTGTTTTGTCACAAACACTTGTTCAGGTTTCAGTCCTTCACTGTCTATGTACTCCTTGAATTCCTGCACATATTTTTCAGCCGCTTTGTGGTCCGAACTGGCAGCCTCACCATGCCTTATCACACTATGAATGCCACTACGCTTCTTAAATCTCTCAAACCAACCTTTGCTGGCCTTAAATTCACTCACATCACTAGTTGCTGGCATTTTTTTAATTAAATCGTCATGCAACTTCCTAGCCTTTTCACATATGATTGCTTGAGAGATGCTGTCTCCTGCTATCTGTTTCTCATTTATCCACACCAATAACAGTCTCTCAACATCTTCTATCACTTGCAATCTCAGTTTCAAAAACATAGTTGCACCTTTGGCAAGAACAGCTTCCTTGATTGCCGTTTTCTTGGCCACAATAGTAGCGATGGTTGATTAGGGTTTATTATACAACCTGGCCAGCTCAGAGACACGCACTCCACTTTCATACTTAGCAATGATCTCTTTCTTCATCTCCATAGTAATTCTCACCCTTTTTGCTGTAAGGTTGGCACTAGAAGCTTTCTTGGGGCCCATGGTGACTTATTTTGCAGGTGCAATCACTACAAAGGCTGTGATAATATGAAATGTTCCAGTTGTTGTATGTTTGGAAGCGACCGCAGTGGCTGGCTGGCTTGTAAACACTGGCACCCAAGGGACAAGTGAGGCGCGCTCAGGCCAAAGTTGACGCGTATGGTACGGAACAAATAGCGCTGGTCGGGTTTTTAAGCGCTAGTTGAGGCAAAATTTTTGCGTTAAAATGTATCGCTAGTCAGATTTATCGTTAATCGATGACATTGCTGGTCGCGGGTCCACTGTATAGGTAAGGCTTGGCAGGAAGTGACTAAGAGGACCTTGAACTCTGCTTGGAAGAAACTGTGGCCAGAATGTGTAGACAAAGGGATTTTGAAGGATTTGAGGCTAACCCTGAGAAGTGTATGCCAGTTGTGGAATCAATTGTGGCATTGGGGAAGTCCTTGGGGTTGGAGGTTATTGGGGAGGATGTGGAAGAGTTGGTGGAGGAAGACAATGAAGAACTAACCACTGATGAGCTGCAAGATCACCTTCAACAGCAAGAGGCCAGACCTGAGGAAACTGCTCCGGAGGAGGGGATAGAGAAATTGAGGAAGTTGCCTACTTCAAAGATTAAGGAAATGTGTGCAAAGTGGCTTGAAGTGCAAACCTTTTTTGATGAAAATAACCCTCACACAGCTATTGCAAGCCGTGCTGGTGACTATTACACTGACAATGTTGTGACCCACTTTAGGAAAGTCATAAAGGAACGGGAGGTACAGGCCTCTGTGGACAGATATGTTGTGCGACAGAGGTCCAGTGACTCTGAAGCTGGTCCTAGTGGCATTAAAAGAAGAAGGGAAGACACCCCGGAAAAGGACTTGCTACCTCAAGTCCTAGTGGAAGGGGATTCCCCTTCTAAACATTAACAACATCCACACTCTCCCCTCCCATCAATCATCACCAGATCTTCAATAAAGGTAAGTGTCAGTTTGTGTGTATTAAAATTAATATTTCATGTGGTAAAATTTTTTTTTTCATACTTTGGGGTGTCAGGAACGGATTAATTTGATTTCCATTATTTCTTATGGGGAAAATTAATTCAGCTAACAATAATTTCAGCTAACAATGAGCTTTCAGGAGCAGATTAATATCGTTAGCTGAGGGTCCACTGTATTAAAATGAGCTAAATGGAAAATTAGGGCTTTAAGCAGGAAATAAAAATCAATAAAAATTCAATGAAAACAATCAAGAAAAATAATAGAGAAACCAATTATACAGTGGACCCCTGGATATCGGCCATTGCTGATGTTGGTCAGATGGGATTTTGGCCGAAATCCTATCCTGGATTTTGGCTGGCAACTCAGAAATTGGCCGTATTGGATATGTCCACCCGCCGTGCCGCATGCGTGTGTCTGGCTGTGCGTCTTGGTGAGTGAGCAACACTCCGTGCATTCATCCATACATTTCGTTATAATCCATTGTTTTTTGTGGTTGTTTATTGAGTGAGACTGAAATAAGCCACCATGGGCCCAAAGAAAGTTCTTTGTGCCAGTCCTTTGGTAAAGAAAGTGAGAAACACGATAGAATTCAAGAAAGAAATTGTAGCAAGTACAAAAGTGGTGCACATGTGCTCGAGCTTGCCAGGATGTATGGCAAATCCAAATCATAAGAGCATAATAAAGAAGGAACACTGCAACAGGCCTACTGACCCATGCAAAGCAGGTCCATGCCACCCCCAACCTAAAACAATGACCACCTAGTCAGGGCACTTCCACTTAAGGAAGGAGCACGGCACCAGACCTGGTAGCCCAAGCTAGTCAGGCTAGCATTTTTACTGCTGAATTGTATGCCATTCTTGTAGCACTTACCCATACTGCATCTATGCCTGTGTCACCATTTGTGGTTGTTTCAGACTCCCTTAGTGCTTTACAGGCTATACGAAAACTTGATACACCTCATCCCCTAGTTCTCCGTATCCAGCTTTGGTTATGCCGTATCTCTACCAAGCATAAAGTTATTGTTTTTTGTTGGGTCCCTGGTCATGTTGACGTACAGGGCAATGAACAGGCAGCGGTCAGCAGTACATGACCTTTCAGTTTCATATAGAGGTGTTCCATTCACAGACTATTTTGCTGTAATTGTTACCCACCTTCACACCCATTGGCAACAATGTTGGTCAGATCTGCTCAATAACAAACTTCATTCTATTAAACCGAGTCTAGGTTACTGGCCGTCTTCTTGTCATCAGTGTCAAGGTTGGGAGACTACTCTCTCCCATCTTCACATTGGCCACACTCGTCTTACGGGTATCTCATGGAGAGGTGCCTTGTTCCTCTCTGTGAGAGTTGTCAGGTTCCACTATCTGTTACCCACATTCTGTTAGACTGCTCACTCTATCAACGAGCACGCAGAATTTACCTCCAACATCATCTCCACTCTGCTGCTCTCTCTTTACCTTCCCTTCTTGCTGACAGACCCTCCTTTAATCCTGATTCTCTCATTGACTTTTTGACAACAACTGATATACTCCACAAACTCTGATGATAATGCCTTTAGTACCCCCCATACCCCTTTCTACCTCAGTCTCTTGCTACCCTCTACCCCTGCACTATCCACTGCCCCGCTGTCCTCCATAACTTAATAATCATCCCTCTTCCTTTTGCCACCCGATACTCTCGCTTCCTTCCCTGCCCTGCAGCGCAGTATGGCCCTTGTGGTTTAGCGCTTCTTTTTTTTATTATAATAATAATAATCCCAATGTTAGGTGTATTCCCCCTTGATTATAATAATAATAGGTGCTGATAAGGTTGAGTAACATGCAACTAATATCTGTAATTAGTTTAATTACTGAAAAATACTAAACATGTACATAAAAATATAATCTTTCATGGTACATTACAATTAATTGAACATTTCAGATGACTAAATTATATGCCTACATTTGGATGGAGAAACCAATAAGAGATGTATTTTTAAAAATGTACTGTAATATTTTCAATAATTAGGTAAACTTTTTTTAATATACAGTATATTTGTTAAAAATTTTGTGTACTAAAAATACTCGAGCAGAGCACAAAATATGAAATGCAATGTCCTCTCTTTATTAGCTTAGGAAATTTTTACTGGTAATACTGTATACAAATGCTCATTTCCATTACCTTAGCACCTTTATGAACCTGCAACACAGTTGCCCCTATATAAATAAAACTAGTTCAACTCTAGCATTTAATATGTGGATAGTGTCCACTTTTTTTTTTTTTTTTTTTTTTGCAAATTAAAGTATTATTCAAACCAGAACAGTCAACACTAAAACTTGCATACAGACTGGGTCGATTGGTTTTCCCAGGTAAATATTACACTGAATATTACCAGTGGAAAATATAGCTCATTAAATAATGGGGACATAAATGTATACTGGACCTAACCAATGAAAATATAAAATACTATGTTTAGAATTAATATTATCTTGGACTGTGATTGACATTACTGTTAAATCTATTTTCTGAAACTACTACTTTGGAATCACACAACACATTTGATCTGCTAGAGAAATCCACATTAACATAATATGGAGATGTTTTATGTTTATGTTTATTCTCAGGTGTCCAGCCCTGTAAAGTGATTGTATTTTTTCCTGTCAACCAGCCTATGGAGTTTCTGCATCCTTCTGAATATAATTTCTCATATAACACAGGGTCTGAGGTACTGAATACTTCCTCTACTTGGTTCTGATTATTGCTAAAGGAAATTCTGTTATCTAAAAAACTTCTGTTGATTCCATCAGTTAAATTAACTAAAGTTCCAGGAATGCTGGAAGGCTGGGAAGGCAAGTTTACATCAACTTGTCCCTGAGCTACTGAGAGGGAAAATGGAGTCTGTGGATGGGATGGATAATATGCTTGAGGTTGAAAAAAGGAATTTCCTACAGGAGCTTTATTAGATGCATAAACCTGGGGATAAGTAACATTGACATAATGAGGCGAGTGTGTGGGGGAAGTGGCTAAAGCTCTTGCAGAATCATTTAACAGCTGCAAGGTGGTTGAGCTCCGTGTCCAGTCATCCTTGAAGACCTGAAAAGTACCAAAGGCTATTTAAGAAACACGTTTAAAACCTCCCCACAACAACAATAAATAATAATAGAGGTCGGCCATCACTAATCTGGCAATCAGTTATCCGGTTCCACCAGTAATCCGGGCACTAATTTCAAATTTCATCATTATATTGACTCAGAAATTGTGCAGATGGTTGTAAATCTGCAGTAGAGGAGAATTATTATTATAATCAAAAAGCAGCGCTAAGCCACAAGGGCTATACAGTGCTGCAGGGTAGGGAAGGAAGCAAGGGTATTGGGCGGCAGAAGGGGGGAGGGATGATCAGTAGGTTACAGAAAACAGCGGGGCAGGGGTAGAGGGTAGCAAGAGATTGAGGTAGAAAGGGCTGAAGGCATCAGAGTTTGTGAAGTCAGTTGTCAATGAGAGTGTCCGGTTGAAAGGTGGGTCCATCAGCGAGAAGGGAAGGTAAAGAGAGAGCAGCGGAGCGAAGACGGCGACTGAGGTAAATTCTGCGTGCTCATTGATAAAGTGGGCAGTCCAACAGAATGTGGCTGACTGAAAATGGAGCCTGACAATTCTCACAGAGAGGAGCAGGGCGCCTCTCCGTGAGATATCCATGAGTAAGACGAGTATGGCCAATGCGAAGATGGGAGAGAGTAGTCTCCCAACCTCGACACTGGTGACAAGAAGACGGCCAGTAACCTATACTCGGTTTAATAGATTGAAGTTTGTTACCGAGCACAGTAGACCAACGTTGTTGCCAACGGGTGTGAAGGTGGGTAGCTATTGCTGCAAAATAGTCCGTAAATGGTATACCTCTATATGAAACTGGTAGGTCATGTACTGCTGACCGCGCAGCAGTGTCTGCCTGTTCATTGCCCTGTACGTCAACATGACCAGGGACCCAACAAAAAACGATATCTTTATGCTTGGTAAAGATGCGGCGTAGCCAAAGTTGGATACAGAGGACTAACGGGTGAGGTGTATCAAATTTCTGTATAGCCTGTAAAGCACTAAGGGAGTCTGAGACAACCACAAATGATGACATTGGCATAGATGCAATACGGATAAGTGCTGCAAGAATGGCATACAATTCAGCAGTAAAAATACTAGCCGAAGATAGTAAATGCCCTCGTACGACGCTGTCCGGAAACACTGCTGCGAATCCTACGCCGTCAGATGACTTAGAGCCATCTGTGTACACTGCAATGGCATGAGAATGGGAGTGGAAGTGGTCAAGAAAAAGAGAGCGGGAAGCGGCCGTAGGCAGTTGGGCTTTCGAGCAAGGGAGAGAGAAAGAACAGACTCGAACAGCTGGAACTTCCCAGGGGGGTAGGGAAAAGTGAGATGCTACATGAACATAGAAAGGTGGTAATTGAAGAGAAAAGAGCGAATGTAGGCGAAGAGACGGAGTAAACAGGGGCGGCGAAAAAATGTCTGCTAATATCAGTGACCATTCTATAAATGGAAGGATTGCGGAGATCATGAGAGCATACATAGTAGCGAAGGCAATGGGCATCACGGCGATAGGATAAGGATGGAAGGTTCATTTCTGCATAGAGGCTCTCAACAGGGAAAGAGTGAAAAGCACCAAGGCATAAACGTAATCCTTGGTGATGAATGGGGTTAAGGCTAGAGAGAGTAGCAGGAGAGGCCGCTGAATAGATCTGGTCACCATAATCAAGTTTCGAAGTAGAGGAGAAAGTGATGAAAATGATGATGTAACAGAAAATCTCTATTAATATGTTAACTGTATTCTAACCTAACCACTCTGTAATCTGGCACACTACAGGTCCCAATGATGCCGGATTAGTGATGGCCGACCTGCAGTAACAATAATAATGGGTTTTGAATACTGCAGTGAAAAAGGAGGCTAGAGACAGTAGACCCTTCAAGAGGTTCTTTGACGCTGGTGAGAGACTCTTGATCTAGGGAACTGATCTGTGCTCCGGTTCTCTGAATTGAGCCTGAATACCTTCCACCCCCCCCCCCCCCACATGCGCTGTATAATCCTATGGATTTAGCGCTACCCCACGATTATAATAATTGTAATAATCGAGACAGTAGACGTCATGTTTGAGAGCAATGTATAGTGTAAATATTATACAGAGATTTCAAAGCTTAGACATTAAAAGGTGATGCGGGGTGACCAACAGTATAATTAAGAGTGATGAAGAGGGGTTGTTGATGTAGTCTGGGAATGTAGGGTGGATGAAAAGGGATTTCCTATATGATCCTTGTAGGTTTAGCACTTCCTTTTTGATTATAATAATGAAAAGGGTGTATAAATCTGAGGAGAAGGGGTCCCAGGTATGGAGGAGGGGGTACATGAGCTTTTAAGCATCCAGCAAGCATGTCAGATAGGAGTGCATGGAGACAAATGATTTCTGAAGGTGCTGCTGCTGTGCGAGCACGATAACTTTTACGAAGTAATTCAGGGATAGTGGTCAGCTGGACTAGAGTCCTGGAGGTGCATAGGGCAGTGCCTGCACTATGAAGGTGATGCTAATTTATAAAGTGTCCAAACAAAGGTAAAATCTTGTTACACCTGCACCACAACAGTCATTGGAGAGTATATAATCCTCTTGATACTGCTTTGCTTTCATGCTGATTTCAGTTCCTTCCATGTGTTCTTTATGTCATACAAAAGAAATCCAACTAGAGAGAAATCTGGAACGATACACAAATAACCCGCACATAAAAGAGAGAAGCTTACGACGACGTTTCGGTCCGACTTGGACCAATGACTTTGTCATTGGTCCAACTCGGACCGAAACGTCGTCGTAAGCTTCTCTCTTTTATGTGCAGGTTATTTGTGTATCGTTCCAGTCACGGTATTGTGCCTTTTTTGTTATTTATATAAATCTGGAACATTCATTGGTGGAACAGAGCTTTGAGTCCAGGGATGTGTAACTTGCTTCAATCTATGGATGCAGTCCATAGTTATGACCCATCATGCTTGTTTGGTACTGAGAAAGGTGCTGCTGTGATGAAACTGAAGTGCAATACTTATTTCAAAAAGAAGGCGGATGTATTCTGCTGAGTAGCAACCACAGATGATGTCACCTCAGGTGGAAAAAGAGGCACTTGTCTGCTTGTACAATGGCACACCAAATGAAGGACTGGATGCACTGCATTACCAATAATTTCATGAGATGTCTGCAAGCACCTCTTTTGTGCAGGTTCACATTTGCCATCAAGAGCTGCAACAGTATGATATCACAGGGTTCATGTTTATTTCCAAAATCAGCAGCAGATGGGCAAACTCTTGGATAACCTTTACCAAACACTTGAACACTTCGTTAGTACTGGGGTTTCTTACACACAGGTCTAGTGTGTTTTTATCAAAAGGATCAGTATGAGGAGGCGGCACATGAGAGGGTGGTATGAGAGAGATGGAAAGGTGGCATACTAGAGTGGGTGGAATGTGGGAATGGAAGAAGAATGGGAGGAAGAAGTGAGGCAAGGAGGAAGATTAGGAAAGTGCAGTACTGATGATTGTAATTATCTATTTATGGCTAGGTGAACAGGTGAAGCAGATGAAAGATTTCATTAGATTAAGGGTATAAAATACATTAAGTTGATGAATAAGATGTGTATCGTCTAGGTATCTTCATGTTTTGTCCATTAGCTTCATGCTGGTGGGCAAAACATCTCAAGTAAAGATATTAAGGTGTTGCACATTTTTAAGCAGTCTTATCCATGCATCGTCCCAGACACACATAGGCAAGTCACATTATCCCTCCTGTCCCTATTCACTTAGCAACTAAACGGTATGTGGGTGTTAGTTGTTGTGAACTGCATCCTGGGTCTTTCTTGATTTATTCAATTCTTGAGTTAGGGAGATATGATTACTTAATGATTAAATATTCCAAAACTATGCAAATAAGTCACAATATGCAGGTTATGGCATCTTATGTATGCAGACGTTTCATGTACTAAGGACTTTATCAATTCATACACGCACATTAAACTGTGGATAACTGAAACAGCAGATACTGAATCAGTGGATACAGGGGTTCTACTGTATAGGGTGTGTAGGAGAGAGGGAAATCACTTTCCAGTTAAATGTAGGCCTTAGACAGGGTTGTGTAATCCAGTTAAATGTAGGCCTTAGACAGGGATGTGTAATGTCACTATGGTTGTTTAACATATTTATAGATGGGGTTGTAAAAAGTAAATGCTAGGGTGTTTGAGAGAGGGGTGGGATTAAATTATGGAGAATCAAATATACAATGGGAGTTGACAGTTACTTCTTGCTGATGATACTGTGCTTTTGGGAGATTCTAAAGAGAAGTTACAAGATTAGTGGATGAGTTTGGGAGGTTGTGTAAAGGAAGAAAGTTGAAAGTGAACACAGATAAGAATAAGGTGATGAGGGTATCAAACGAATTAGGTAAAGAAAAACTGGATATCACACTGGAAGGAGAGATTATGGAAAAAGTGAATGCGTTCAGATATTTGGGAGTAGACTTGTCAGTTTATGAAGTTTATGAAGAACAAGGTTAACCACAGAATTAAAGAAGAAAAAATAGAAAAAAAGGTGATTGATGCAGTGAGGAATCTGTGGAGAAAAAAAAAAAGTTATCCATGGAGGTAAAGAAGGGACTGTACGTGAGTATAGTGACACCAACACTCTTATGTGGGTGTGACGCATGTGTTGTAAATGCTGCAGCAAGGAGGATGCTGGAGGCAGTGGAGATGTGTGCAAGGGTAACGTGTGGTATAAATATTATGCAGAAAATTCATATTGTGGAAATTAGGTGTGGAGTTACTAAGTACGGTGGATCCTCAGTTATTGGCCGTAATCCGTTCCAGAAGGTCGGCCTAAAATCGAAATGGCCAAAAACCGAAATAATATTTCCCATAAGAATTATTGTAAATACAATTAATCCGTTCCAAACACCCAAAAATATTCACAAAAAAATATTTTTGTGAAGATTAATTACAGTTTTACATACACAAAACAATGAGAATTAAATGAGTGTCCGAGGTCACTTCAAAGCACCTTTGAAACACTGCTTTGGTGTACAGGTTTTTGAAGTCAGAAATGACCTGCTGGTCTATGGGCTGGATGAGAAGAGTGGTGTTAGGAGGCAAGAACTTCACTGTTATAAAACAAAAGTCCCTAAACAACTGGTTTTCCAAGTCTGGAGGATGAGCAGGAGGCACCTGAGTGGCAATTTACATTCCAGGAGGTATTTTTTCACACAGGGGCCAAACACATCATTAAGCCACTCTCTGAAAATGTGCCTTGTGATCCATGCCTTATTATAAGCTTTCCACATCACACACAGTCTATTCTTGACAACATTGTTTTTCTTGAACACTCTGGAATTTTCAGAGTGATACACCAGTAAAGGCTTCACTTTGAAATCCTCACTAGTGTTAGCACGAACAAAAGAGTAAGCCTGTTTTTCATGTACCCAAAAATCCTTTAAAGATTTCGAGATTTTTCTTTATCTCGACCCCGGCCGGGCCAGGCTTGTTGGTTTTGCGGGAAAACCAAGTTTTGCTGTGGGGCTGCTGCCCTCATATCCAACACCCTGGTTGTCTGGCACCGGGTTTGAAATACTTTTCCATTTTCCTTTTAAAGGGTTCTACACTTCCCCCCAGCTGTGCTTCGGGGACTTTGTAAGATTTTGAATAGTCGGGGGACCCTGGATGTTGATACGTGTTTTTATGTTATTTTAGTCCAGGAATGCCTGATTGTTTTTTCTGGCCCCTTTTTTTGAAATTGGAATATTTTGAACTTCGTGTGAAATGGCCAAATTACCAATCACTTTACGGGGGTAGTTAAAATCAGTGGTACCTAAGTTTGACGGCTCCCAACTCAATTTGAATGATTTTTTTAAGTCTTTTTAAGTGTATTTTTGGGGGTTCAAAAGGATTATCAAATTTTTCATTATTCCTTAGGGCCCAAAAATTTTTTCCCCAAAAGGGAAATTAAGTTCGTAATCGAGGTCCCTGTATTTGTTTGGGGCAAATTTTTTGTGCTCATAGAAAAAATGGAAACCACTAGCAAATGCTCCAAATTTGGGTCTAGTGGAACAATGTAAATTGGCCAAAAATAGGATCAAAGTGGGCAAATCGCCCAAGGAAAAATTCGAACAGCAAAATTTTCAAAAGTGTAAATTTCTCGTTTTTGATCAAATTTTTTACTTTTTTTTTTTTTTACCTTCAGGAAAGTTCTCTACCCTTTCAAAAAAATTTTTTTTTTTTTTTTAAATTTTTGGACCCTTGGGGGAATTTTCAAGTGGGGGGGCTGGACCCCCAAAAAAAAAATCAACAGTGAAAAAAAAAAAATTTCCATTTATATTTCCATACTATGAAAAAAAGATTGAAAAAAACTAAAATATTTTACCTCACTGTCATAATGGCACCAAAGGGGATAAACCCTTTTTCTAATGAGCTAACCCATTTGTTAAATTGCATCACGGCGAAATTTGTACATGAAAATGCCAGTGAGTTGAAACCCCTAGGATCTTTACATAACTGTGATGCTTTCAAATGGGCTTTCCCCCTCCAGGTCCGAAATTTTCATGACGAAATTCTAAGACTCCATCTAAGGTAAGTGCTTCACGTAAGCATTTATCCAGTTGTGCAAAAACACTAACTGGGGTGGTCTGTAAAGAAAAAAAAAATGCTTCACAAGATGACCAATAACTTTGCTATCCATTAAATACATCTACTGTATATACTAAACTAAAATATTTTCCTGTACAAAAGCACTACCAGTAGTATATCTACTGCACATTAATGTGTTAAACAAATACAAGATTACATTCCTAACACTTGTAGAGATAATAAAAAGTGTTAACATAAAAAACTACAACTTAAAGATGGACAGGTGAAAATTACTTGATTAATTTAGTGGGCAAATATGTGCTTGGCTAGCATGGTTTTATAAGAACAGAACAAAATATTCAACAATAAAGAGTTAAAGCAGAAAATACAATGACTTTCTACATTTAGTGTGGAAAGTTATTTACTTGTTAATATATTTTATATCTCGCATTATTTTAATTCTTGAGAAATTTATGTTAGATGTACCTGGAGCAGAATGCTGGCTGAGCAGACACACAATGGAAACATTGTGGTAATGGTGAGACTTGCAATGACCAATGCTGCCACACTATCTGCTGCTTGATAGTTACTGAAATGAATATAATACAGGTACTACATAATCAGTAATATAAAACCATTTCAATTTATTATAATATTGCATACTCACTTATGAGAAAATAACATAATTTAGATATATTTGAGAGGAATGAATTGCTAAAAAGACTTAAGCAATTAATGCATTCAAAGTGTTTATGAAAACTAAGAGCCACTTTGTGATTTCTACCAACCAACATGCTGTATAGTCCTTGTGGCTTAGCGCTTCTTTTTGATTATAATAATAATAATAATACCAACCAACAACTGAATAGTAAAATTTCCGTCTCCCAGTGAGACAGGGTGACCTTAAAACAAAAAATTTCACCATCACTCATTCTGTGATTATCTTGCCAGAGGTGTGCATATACTACAGTTCAGATGCCCCTCCAAACTGCAATATCCCCACCCCTCCTTCAGAGTGGGGGCACTGTACCTCCCACTTCCAGGACTCTAGTCCAGCTAACCTGTTTTCCTGAATCCTTTAATTAATGTTCCCTTGCTTACACTCCAACAGCACACTGTTATGAAAAAACACTTGCCTCCACTCACTCCTCTCTAACATGCTCACACACGCCTGCTGGATGGCCAAGCTCCTCGAATATAAAACCTCCTTTACCCCATCTCTCCACCCTTTCCTGCCTGCTCTGACCTGTTCTGTCCTGCCTAACCTGTCCTGTCTGCTACAGTGGACCCCCGGCTTACGATATTATTTCATTCCAGAAGTATGTTCAGGTGCCATTACTGATTGAATTTGTTCCCATAAGGAATATTGTGAATTAGATTAGTCCATTTCAGACCCCCAAACATACACGTACAAACGCACTTACATAAATACACTTACATAATTGGTCGCATTGGGAGCTGATCGTAAAGCGGGGGTCCACTGTATGGAATATCCTACTCTGCTTTCTCTACCTTCCTCTATATGCCCCAGCCTGCCCTGCCTGCCCTGGCCTTCCCTACCTGCTCTTCCTTGCCCTTCTGCTGTGGTCTGCCTACCCTGGCCTGCTGTGCCCAATCTTGAAGCTCGGGCCCTACCTACTTCCGGGCCCGGCCCTGGTGCCTGCCTGGCCTGGCCCCCCTCCCCTGCCCTGCCCTCCTACTGTCTGGACATTTCAAATTAAGCTTATTTTTACCACTCAGAAAACCCTAAAATATTTAAAAAAAAAAAGTATCAAAGGGGAAAGGGTTTGGGGTTTTGGCATCTTGGAATGAATACAACCATGGAAAATTTAATAAATTTTGACAGTATTCAATAAAGAATGGATGCCACAAATTGTACATACTAACTTACATCTAAAAACAGAAATGTTACAAATAGTTTTTCTATATCCACTGCTGTGCAATGTAAGAAAATCAACTTACTACTTTTTGAAAAATTAGTGACTATTAATATTCCCAAAGAAAACCAGCTTTTGATATTAGAAAACGGGCTACTCTTTGGCAGAAGAATTCTTGTTAAAGCTGGAACATGTTGCGAACTGAAAAAATACTGATTTGTTTTTAGTCTGAAATAAATCAAATGTATATATAAATGGACAAAAAATTTAAAAAAACAGAGATTTTTTTTACAAACCCAATGCCCGATAAACCCTACCAAACTGCAATTAGTGGGGGAGAATGCTCCCCAACCAATTTCCTGAATGACCTAAATTTTGGGGTTTTTCAGTTCTTAAAAAACCCCCCTGAAGTTTAAAAATATAAAATTTATATCTGCAACCCCAAAACCCGCATAAAGGAAGTGGTAAAGCAAATTTGCCAAAAAATTTCACGAAAACCCTCCACAGCCTCTTTAAAAAAAGCCAAGCAAAAATAAAAATTGAAAAAAAAAGTTTAAAGAATTAAGTAAAAATAAATACCCCCCCGATAAAAAACAAAGATAAAACTCAAAGAAAACAAGATTTCCACACTAAAAGGAATTTTAAGAAATTTTTTAATCAAATAGCAAAAGAGAGTTTTGAGTGAGCAAAAAATAATATTGTGGAAGTGAACTATACAGGGGGTTCATTAAAAAGGCATGACAGGACCCATCGTTTTGGGCAAAAGTTTAAACAGAAAACAAGAGCTGGGAAATAAACCCCCCCTTCCCTTGTAAACTCAAATAAAAAGGTAATTATAAGTAGAAAACCATTTAATGAGTTGCTCAAAAGACACTTCCAAAAAAGAAAAAAAAAATTTACAAAGAAATGTGTAAATTAAAAAAAAATTAACACATACTGGAATTCAGTGACCATTATTGATGTGCTCTTTTGGATGTTTTTGCTATATGACGGTTGAAATATTGTGGTGCTGTTTTCATTTTTTTTTTTTTTACAAGTCGGCTCTCTCCCACCAAGGCAGGGTGATCCAAAAGAAAGAAAATCCCCAAAAAGAAAATACTTTCATCATCATTCAGCACTTTCACCTCACTCACACATAATCAATGTTTTTGCAGAGGTACCCAGAAATACGACAGTTTAGAAGCATATACATATAAAGATACACAACATATCCCTCCAAACTGCCAATATTTCGAACCCCTCCTTTAGAGTGCAGGCATTGTACTTCCCATTTCCAAGACTCAAGTCCGGCTATATAAAAATAACTGGTTTCCCTGAATCCCTTCACTAAATATTACCCTGCTCACATTCCAACAGCTCGTCAGGTCCCAAATACCATTCGTCTCCATTCACTCCTATCGAACATATTCATGCACGCCTGCTGGAAGTCCAAGCCCCTCACCCTTACCCCTTCCTTCCAACCATTTCGAGGACGACCCCTACCCCGCTGTTTTCAATTATGGTGCCATATTTATTTAATGGTATAAATACAAAGGAAATAGTGGCTATAAGATGATACTCAGACCCATGCACATACACTTCACCATATTCCAAATGGCCTGGCTTTGCTACCTCTACAGTTGGTTTCATTTCATGTATGAATTCTGACTTTACAGTTGGCTGCAATCTATGTATGAACCCCACCTCTATAGTTATCTGAATCCACATGGTTGCAATTTGTGGATGATAGCTACCTCTAAATCTGGAAAGTATGACTGTCTCAAAGTCCATGCTAAAAAAAAGTCCTAAACCTTTGCCTAGACAAATCACAGTGGTAGCAAGATACACCTCCAGTCAGATTAAGAGGATTGGGCATACACAAAACCCTCACCATTATGAGTTAACCAAACTCCACACTTCTCACCACTGTGAGTTAAATAGCTGCATTTCACAACATTATACAGTAACTCTTTTACTTACACTTCTAACATTATTTATCATATGCTCCTCAGGCTACTCTTTCAGTTTTCAGGTTCATGTCACATCAATAAAGAGGCTGAGAATATGCAACAGATCATCCAGTGGTGTTATAACATGGATGTAACCAAATAATGAATGTATAATGGCAGGGATCATCATTTAGATATCTCAGGCTATAATTATTTAATTTTTCATTATTCATCATCAAATGACACTACATTTTCAAAATACTTCCCCAGGATAATCCCAAGATGAATAATAGTGTACTTCTTAATTTGTTACAGAAAATTATTAAAATGAATCTTGAAAATGCTTATAAAGTTTCCTCATTACTGTTGCTTTCTTGCCAGCATACAATCATACTTCAATGTGCTTTTGTTATTATGTAATCCATGAGTAAGCAACAAATATTTAATTTTAATTTCATAGTTACTAACCTCTGACACATATCTGCAACATGTTCTTGAAGAAGTGATGACTGGGATGCTCTTAATACCTGTGTAAGTGGAGGGTTGTGGGCCAGTGTGGTCATACCCAGGTGTAGCACTAAGCCAAGGATACCACCAACACTTAACATTCCTCTAGAAACATTATAAACTTATATTACAAAATGTTGTTAAAGGCAATGGAGGATCTATTACCCTGGCAATAACAATATAGAAATTAACACGCGACGAGCATTATAAAATAAAAGTACGGTGATGCCTCTCATTAATGGACCAATAGGCGAAGAGGGTGTACAATAATGCCAATTCTTCACAATTCCCGAATTATGAAATTAATATTTCACAATCATCTGGTTGTCTTTTGAAGTAGCGGACTTGATCTAGTGATGCATACTCTATGTAATTTACAGTAATCTTATTTACCTTTTTCGTGGTGGAGAGAAGGGGTGTAAATTGCTGTGATTGATAGTGGTGATTCAGAAAAACTTTTATTCTGAGTCAGAGGAGCTGTATAGCTTTTCTACCGGACAAGTGTCAGAATTAGAGAATTTGGCCCTATACTTCAGAAGAAAACTAGATATTATCACTATGAATAAAATGTGGAATTATGAACTTTTTTCCCT